AAGTATCTGTAACTTTGTCCCCTATGTGTGTTACTATATATATGAATATATATTTATGCACACAGATACATGCATATACACACACCTATATATACACACAAATAGACTCACATACATACCTATACACATATATGCTTACATATATACATATATACCCACGCATATATTTTTTGGTTGTTGTTGCTGTTGATGCAAAATTATATATGCCATAGCAATTACCAAAAGATCCTTTTCTCTTGTGTACATCTTAGTGAAGTTGTTTACCTTGGTCAAGATGTGCACACTTCACCCACATTCAGTGTTAGGTTTCCCATCACCAAAAATAACAAGTGTCTACTATTGTCATGGATTGAGTTGTGTCCCCCAAAAATACCTGTCAGCTTGGCTGGGTCATGATTCCCAGTGTTGTATGATTGTGTAATCTGAGGTGATTTCCATATGTGTTGGAAACTCTATCACTATGATGAGGTTATATGTGATCTCCTTACGTGTTGTAAATTCTATCACTGTGATGAGGTTATACTGATGAGGTTGACAAGATTAGATAGTGTCTTAATGCAATCTCTTTTGAGATATAAAAGAGAGAAGCGAGCAGAGACACATGGGAACCTCATACCACCAAGAAAGCAATGCTGGGAGCCGAGCACGTCCTTTGGACCTTGAGGTTCCTGTGCTGAGATGCTCCCAAACAAGGCAAGACTGATGACAAGGACCTTCTTCCAGAGCCAACAGAGAAGAGAAAGCCTTCTCCTGGAGCTGACACCCTGAATTTGGACTTGTAGCCTACTGGACTGTGAGAGAATAAACTTCTGTTTGTTAAAGCCATCCACTTTTGGTATTTCTGTTCGAGCAGCACTAGATGACTAAGACAAATATGTAGAGATTGATTCCTCTCCACCACCGCCCAATCCCTGGTAACCACCAATGAATGTTGATCTCTGTATATATACACCTATTCATGTCTTTTTTGTAAAAGTGATATCTATAATTTGTCCTTTTGTGATTGACTTATTTCACTCAGCATAATGTCCTCCAGATTCATCCACATTATAAGACGTTTCGAGGACCCATCATTCCTTACGGCTGCGTAATGTTCCATTTTATGATTTTATGTATGTACCACATTTTGTTTATCCATTCATCCATTGATAGGCATTTAGATTGTTTCCATCTTTTTGCTATTATGAATAGTGCTGCACTGAATATAGGTGTGTCTAATTGTTTTTTAATCCTGATCTTCCAGAAAGAAAAAAAAAAGATCTTCCTTTAACTTTCTTTAAATTCTTAACTTTGACCCTGTACTTCTCAGACAACCATTTGTCTCATTTCTCCCCTAAGTGTGACCATGCTGGCCGCGTGGTTCTGTAATCACGTTATTGTATGCAGAATAAGAGACAGTAGATGTAGCTGCCTACGGAAGCACAGATCATTGAGGGATCTGATGCATCTGAGCCTCATCCATTCACTCAGGAGATAGGGAGAGTTTCAGGAAGCAGAGGAATCTTTTGTGAAATTTCCCTCACTGTCACCTTCAGCTGATGATTTTCTACCCTGCTGCACAGAGACAACCGCACCATCAGCTCCTTTATTACACCAAATTCACCCTAACATGGCACAGAAGTTCCAACCACATCCTCACCCTTTAATTTAGTTTGAGAGGAAGAAGTTTGGATCCCACAGGTTTGGTAATTATAATGTGCACAATGCTTATAGCTATCAAAGAACATTCACACCATCTCTTTTCTGACTCACAAAAAAAGACTTTCACTTCTAGGAAGATGGAATAGACGCGTTTACCCTTTCTCCTTTCTTGCAAAGGCAAGAAAAAGGAAATAAAAGGCATACAGATTGAAAACTATCCCTATTTGTAGATGACATGATTTTATATGTAGAAAATCCCAAGGAAAAAAGCAAAATCTCCTAAAATAACTGAATTCAGCAAGGTTGAAAGAACAAGATAAACACACACAAATCAATTGCATTTCCATATACTAGCAATAAACATGTGGACACCAAAATTGAAAAAAAAAATACTTTTATAAAATTTCAAAAAAAGAAATACCTTCATGTAAATCTAACAAAACATATATAAGACTTGCATGCTGAAAACTACAAAACACTGATGAAAGAAATCAAAGAAAATCGAAATAAATGGAGAGATATACTGTGTTGTTCATGGTTTGGAAGACTCAATATAGTAAAGATGTCAATTCTCCACAAATTGATAAATAACTCAATTGATATATATCACAATTCCTATCAAAATCTCTGCAAGATTTTTTGTAGATATAGACAAGATTATTCTAAAACTCACATGGAAAGGCAAAGGAACTAGAATAGTCAAAACAATTTTGAAAAAGAAAAATAAAGCAGAAGAAATCAGTCTACCTGATTTCAAGACTTATATAGCTACAGTAATCAAGATTGTGTGGTATTGGCAGAGGGTAGACATATAAATCAATGAAACAGAAGACAGAACCCAGAAATACACCCACGCAAATAGGTCCAACTGATTTTTAACAAAGGTGCAAAAGTAATTCAATGAAGGAAATAACAGCCTTTTCGCCAATAGCGCTGGAGCAATTGGACATCAACAGGCAACAAGAAAAAAATGAACCTTGACCTAAATCTCATACCTTATATAAAAATTAATTCAAAATGAATCATGATTTTAAATGTAAGACATAAAACTATAATTAAAACTTTTAGAAAAACACATAGGTGAAAATCTTCAGCATCTACAGTTAAGCAAAGAGTTCTAAGACTTGACACCAAAAGCACAATCCATAGAAGGAAAAATTGATATATTGAACTTTATGAAAAACTTTAAAACTTTTTAAAAAGGCCCTGTGAAGAGAATGAAAAGACAAGTTACAGATTGGGAGAAAATATTTGCAAATCACATATATGACAAAGGATCAGCATGCAGAATACATAAAGAACTCTCAAAACTCAACAGTAAAGAAACAATCCAATTACTAAATGGGCAAAAGGCATGAAGAGGCATTTTACCAAAGAAGATAGTAAGCACATGAAAAGATGTTCAACATCATTAGCTATAAAGGAAATGCAAATTAAAATAACACTGAGATATCACTACATTTCTATCAGAATGGCTAAAATTTAAAACAAAAAACTGTGACAACACCAAGTGCTGGCAAGAATGACAGAAAATCTTGGATCACTTATACACTGCTGGGGGGAATGTAAAATGGTACATCCCCTTGGAAAACAGTTTGGCAGTTTCATTAAAAACTAAAACATGACTCAGCAACTGCACTCCTGGGCAAGAGAAAAAAAAAAAAGCTGTACACTAATATTTATAGCAGCTTTATTTGTAATAACCAAAAATTGGAAACAACCCAGATATCCTTCAACTGGTGAATGGTTAACCTGTGGCACATGTTCCATACCATGGAATCCTATTCAGCAACAAAAAAGGAATAAACTATTGATACACATGACAACCTGGATGAATCTCCACAGAGTTATTCTGAATGAGAAAAAAATCAATCCCAAAAGGTTACATACTGTACAATTCCATTTATTAAACATTTTTGAAATGACAAAAATGATAGACATAGAGAACAGATTAGTGGTTGCCAGGGGTTAAGAAGGGAATGAGGATAGGAGGGAAGTGGATGCAATCACTGAAGAGCAACATGAGGTGCCCTTGAGGTGATGGAAATGTTCTGTTCTTGACTGTACCAATGTCAATTTGGTTGTGATATTCTACTGTAATTTTGCATTATGTTACCTTTTAAGGGAACTGGGTAAAGTACATAAGATCTCTCTGTATTATTTCTTATAACTGCATGTAAATATATAATTATCTCAAAAGTTTAGTTAACAATAAAAAAACAATGAGGCAGCAAGGTGAGTGTTGTATTTAGTCATTTTGTCATATTCCACTGGGTTCCTAGAGTGCCTATTGTGGTATCAGCCACAAAGAAGATGCTTAGTAGATGTCTGTTGAATGAATAAATTTAAACAGATTTGAGTTCCTTTACTCCCATTTTATAGCTGAGGAACCTGAGGGCTCAGTGAAGTTTGTGACCTGTCTCAAAGTATCAGCAATTAAGTGGCATATGTAGTACTGTAGAACTGGAAGGAGCCCTGGTGGCACAGCGGTTAAGCGTTTGGCTGCTAACCAAAAGGTCAGCAGTTTGACCTCAACAGCTGCTTCACAGAATGTGGCTGTTTCCTTCAGTAAAGACTACAGCCTTAGAAACCCTATGGGGTAGTTCTACTCTGTCATATGAGTTTGCTATGAGTCGGAATTGACTTGATGGCAACAGGTTTGGTTTTTTTGTTGTTGTTGTTAAGTTCAAGGCCAATTTTTTCTTTTGATTACATCTTTATACTCTCTCTTTCCTTCAAACATCACAGGTCTCCTTTATATCAAGACATATTTCATATAATCCTGAAAAAAATTTTTTGTTAGCATATGACTTTTTCATCACAAGCATTACCTTCTCATTCATGCTAGCTGTAATCCTCTACATTCCAGCTTGCATCTTTGCACAATTACTCAACCACCACCCTCAACGCTTCTTCCTTCACTAAAATTGTTTTCCTAAAAGGTCCAATGGGCCTGCTTTGTGCCATGAACTCAACCTTCATCATCCTTTATGTCTTTGTAGCATGGGAACTTTGTTGACAATTCACTTTGAGCTAATAATTTTACCTCTAGAAAACAAGGATTTTTTCCCCCAAAAAACATCTAAGTTCCGAAATTCTGGGTTTTAAGATTTCTCAGCATTCCATCATGTCTATCACAGGTACTGGTATACATTCTTTAGCCCAATCCAGCGAGTTTCAGGGAATGTTAAGTTCTTTTAAAATGTGTACTATGAAGTCTGATATTTCTTGCTTCCCCAAAACCCTCTGACTTCACAGGAAGCAGCCTATGGAAGAGCTCACTTTTGCTACCCTCTCTGCATAAGTACTTAGTCATGCAGAAGAACAGACTGAGAAAGAGCTATCACTGTGGGACTTACTGAACAGGTTATTCCAATTCACATTTGCCTTTTCCTCAGACTCCATTGGTTGGAAAATAAGTACCCTATGATGGTCGAGGTTTTTTAACAACTCTTCACAGTAAAATGGAATCCCACAGCTTCCCTCTACCAGGTACCTGAAGTGAAAAAAAAAAACAAAAAGCTTCATTTTTTTAGGAAGGAAACATTATGTTAGAGTCTTTTCAATCACTTGAAAATAATCTCATTTTCTAATAGTTTTTACTCTTTTGTGCCTCTTCCTTGGGGTCAGTCTTCTTTATTTTCTATTTGTAGGAACCACCTTGAGGGGCACAGGAAGTACCATAATAAATGAGTAACAACCCAAAAGTCATGATGCTTAATTCCATTAAAAGTTGATGCTCAACTGAATACATCTAGGGCCCAAAGCCATTCTTTCACCAATCCATTTCTTCTTCTCCATCTTTTTTGCCCCAGTGCTCCATTTCCCCTGTTCTCTTCCAATTTTTCCCCCACCTTAGTTTTCTGTACCCTAAACCTGTTTTTACCTTGTCTTCACCTTCTCTCAGCTACTGTGATCAATCAGCCAAAACCAAATCAAGAGAGGACGAGAACCACAGTGAAACTGTGGGGCCATAGCAAAGGCCAGAGGGAACCTAATCACAAAGTGAAACTGGAAAGGCTATATACTTACTCTCATAGTTAAAAATGAAGAAATCCAGGATGTTGGAAAGCAAAGAGAAAAAAAAAAAGTTTTTTTTTTTTTTTTTGGAGTTGTGAATGTGCTGTAAATCCCACCTCACTCATTGTGTAGTGATGGTGGTGGTGGGTATTTTACCCTAACCTCACACTTAGTGAGAGAGTAAGCTTGAAACCTGAAAGGACCTCAAAAAGAGCTTGGGAGCTGGGAAAAAAAAGAAAAGTCTACAGGTAAATGGCTAACGCAAATTGTGGCAGCAGACTCCAGGGCTGCATTTGAGAAGTAATAACCTTCCAACAACATCAGGTCAAAAAAGGACTTATTTTCCTGGTACCCAAATGTGGGAGGGGTGTCATATTATTTTATTTTGTTTGTGTCTCTTAATTTCCTTTCATTCTATAACAGTTTCTCCTTTTTTTCCCTATGACATTGATTTGTGGAGAAACTGGGTCATTTGTGCCATAAGATGTACCGCATTTTTTTATTTGGCTGATTGCTTCCTCATGATGTTGTTTAACTTGTCATCTCTCCCTTGTATTTCCTATAAACTGTTAGTTGGGTTTAGAATCTTGATTATATTTCGATAAATGTTTGGCAAGAATATTTCAAAGGTGGTGCTGAGTACTTCCTACTGCATCCTGCCAGGAAGCACATAATGTCTGGTTGTTCCACTTTCAGCAGCTAAGATTGATGGGGAGTTTAAGTGGGGTCAACCTGATCCCTGTTATAAAGTTCCAAAATGGTAATTTTCTACTTCTATCATTCTTTCTGCTTTTTAAAAATTATTATGAATTCATGTATTTTCAAAATACTTGATGTGCTTCAATCCATTGCAGTCATCATTCTCTTTGATGTTGAAATTTTCCCATTTAAGGCCAGTGGGAGCTGCTTCAGTTGCCTCCTGTCTTTTTGGCATACTGTTAGCCTTTCTTATTTTAGCAGCTTTATTGAGATACAATTCATGGACCATATAATTAGCCCATTTAAAGTGTACAATTCAATGATTTTTAATATATTCAGAGTTGTTCAACCATCATCACATTCAATTTTAGAACATTTTTACTACTCCAGAAAGACACTCATACACATTAGCAGTCACTCCCATTTCCCACTAACCTTCCTGTCTCCCAGCCCCACCCAAAACCCACTACCACTGAGTCGGCTTTGACTCATAGTGATCTTACAGGACAGAGTAGAACCGCCCAAATAAGGTTTCCAAGGCTGTAAATCTTTATGGAAACAGACCGCAGCATCTTTCTCCCACGGAGCTGCTGGTGAATTTGAACCGCCAACTTTCGGTTAGCAGCCGAGTACTTAACCACTGCACCATCAGGGCTCCTGTCCCTTCTAGCCCCAGCCAACCTCTAATCTACTTTCTGTCTCTATAGATTTGCCTGTTCTGGACATTTCATATAAATAGAATCATACAGTACGTGATCTTTTGTGACTGGCTTCTTTCACTTAGTGTAATGTGTTCAAGGTTCACCCATGTAGTAGCCTGCATCAGTATTTCATTCCTTTTTATTGCCAAATAATACTCCATTGTATGAATATACAACATTTTATTTATGCATTCATCAGTTGATAGACATTTGGGTTGTTTCCACTTTTTAGCTATTATGAATGATGTTGCTATGATTATTTGATTATTTATGTGCAAGTTTTTCTGTGGGCGTATGTTTTTATTTCTCTTGGGTATATACCTAGGAGTGAAATTGCTGGGTCATATGGTAACTCCGTGTTTAACATTGGAAAAATTGTCAAACTGTTTTCCAAAGCAGCTGCACCATTTTATATTCCCATCAGCAATGTATGAGGTTTCCAGTTTCTCCACATCCTATCCACATACTGATATTGCCAGTTCAATGTACAGGGTTTTTATTTAAATTTTTTGGTTTTATACTCTCTCTTTTCTCTGAGGCTGACAATCTTGATTCCTAATGATATTAGCATAAATAGTTTTTTTATCCTATAATATTCCTATACTTTTTAAAAAATAGTAATATAAATATTACTACTAATAAGTTTACTGAATGCAGTTTAAGAATTCTTTGCAGTTCTTTTTGTCCTTAAACATATCCCACTAGAGATGAACAGTCAATGTATTATTATTATTTTGTGTGTGTGTAGGTTGTTTGCATATAGAAAAGATTTAAGAAGTGTTACCTATTATATTTGAATTTTTATTGTATTATAAATATATGTAACAAAACATTTTCCAATTCAACATTTTTTACATGTACAAGTTAGTGACATTGATTATATTCTCAACATCAACCATCACCACCATTTATTTCCAAATTATTCCATCACCATTTATAGAAACTCAGTGCCCCACTAAGGAAGGACTCTGCTTTTCCCCCTCCCTCCTGCTGTAGGGTCGCTATGAGTCGGAATCGACTGCACGGCAACCAGCTGGTTGGTTTTGCTCTGGGTAACCCTTGATAAACTTTCTTCTCTATACATTTGCCTATTCTAGATATTTCAGATAAGTGGGATCATACAATATATGTCTTTTTGTGGCTACTTATTTCATTCAGCATAATGTTTTCAAAGTTCATGCATGTTATAGTATGTATCAGAACTTCTTTTTATGGCTGAATAATATTCTGTTGAATCTATATGCCACATTTTATTTATTCATCTGTTGATGGACATTTATTTCCACCATTTGAAACATACTGTGTTTTAATAACACTTCAAATTTTTTTCCATGCTGGGTCATCCTACCAACTTGATATTCATATTGGTTCATTTGTTTCTGTTTGTTTTCAATTTCTAGGGATTGCTTTTTTCTTTTTATTTTAATTATGTAAAACATCTTTCCAAAACCAAAACTATATAATAAGGTATATCCTTAGTTTTGCTTCCCTTCCTTACTCTATAAGTAACCATTTTGATTAGTTTTTGGTTTATACTTTCAATGTTTCTTTTAAAAAATATAAACAAACACGTATTTCACACCTTTCTTAGGTAAAAAAACAGCATGTTATACACACTGTATACTGGGCTGCACCTTGTTTTTTTCACTCTGGTCACCCCTCCATATGAGCAAATCTTTTCTTTTTACTGCTGCATAGTGCTTCACTGTGTGGATGTATTGTAGCTTATTCAACCTCCCCTTAGCTATGGGTATTTGGATTGTTTCCAGTGTTTTACTAATAAACATAACGCCCCAATAAAAAACTTCGTCCATATGTCATTTCATATTTTTGCCAATATATCTTTGGGATGCATTCCTAGAATAAGAATTGCTAGATAAAAAGGTAAATACATGTGCGTGTGTGTAAGCGTGCATGCACACACCCGTGTGTGTGTGTGTGTATGACAGACAAAGAGAAATTTTTGTCTGGAGGTATTTTAAATGAGACTTTATTCAAGACATCTTTCTTCAAGGGACAAAGCAAACTCTTCAGAAAGAATGGATGCGGATGCCAAGGTGGAACTGTAAACAGCCAGCCAAAGAAGAGGCAGCGTCCATGTTAAGGAGACTGCTGTCAAGACCAGTAGAGGAGCTGCTAAGTTTAGAAAGCACTTACTAGAAAGTCAGCTTTAAACATCTGCCATAGACAGAGCAAACCAATGATACCTGATTATATTATTGCCTTCTGAGAAAGACCTTGCTTAGTGTTTGCAAGTTTGGCTTTCCTGTCACTTACTCATGACGATGCCCTTGGACACTGTTGATTAAAGTGATTATACCCATACCATACTCAGCATGATGAAAGGAAGACATAACTGACGTATCTAAGCAAAGTTTGAGGAGGTACAACAGGGATCATAACAAGGAAAAAGTGAGCAACATCCATCCTTCCAAGCCTAATGAATGGTCCCTTCGAAAGGTGTGGCCAGCAGCAGTACTGTAACAGGCATTTTCAGACACATTCTTAAGGAATTTGATGAAGTCTGGACCTGGGGAAAGAATGCAGATGTTGAAATCTCAGGATAAAATGGGTTACTTACGAGTCCAGTTCTTTGCGAATACCGCTCACATTGAGGTCAAGACAGATCTTGTTGAGGATATCTTTAGGCTGTACTGCACCGAGGGTGACATAGGTGGTGTTCCTGTTCTTCATTATGGAACTGGCAGCTACACAGGGCATGTCCATGAAGGGAGATAGGGACATGATGATGAAGATAGGGACAGTACGGATCAGCTTCTCCATAAACGCCCAGGAGGCTGAATCCACAAACTGGGCCTCATCAATGATGAAAATTATCCTTTCCTCTTTCACTGTCTGAACAAGATAGAGAAACAGAAAGAAAAGCACTGTAAGACTTCTGATTTTTATATATGTGTATGGGTATGCAAAGGAGCCTGGATGGGGAAAGCGGTTTGTGATTAGCTGCTAACCTAAAAGTTGGCAGTTCACACTCACACAGTGGCTCTGTGGAAGAAAGCCCTGGTGAACAGATTCTATAAAAGATTACAGCCAAGAAGACCCTATGGATCAGTTCTACTCTGTAACACATGGGGTAGCAAGAAGTTGGGGGCCAACTCAACGACAGCTAACAAAAACCTGGGTATGCATGTTTGTCCGCTGAGTTTTCTGGTTTGCTTACAATGAAGAGAAAGGACAGCTGTGTTAAATCTTTTTCTTTCCAGTAACTTTCTATTAATTTAGATTCCATTAACTTGGAATGTGTGGCAATTTGGCTAGAGCTTGGTTGAAACTGACTCTTATTTGGTTAAACCTTTGTATAAAGATAATGCAAACTTGTACTATAGATGGGGTTCTAGGGAATGTCTACCAAAGCCAAATAAAAGTACCCATTACATAAAAATAACTGACATTCTAACTATAAGTCATTTTAATTTATTGACTAATGAAGATCTCCTGGGTATATCTACTTAAAGTTTATTCAGTCAATATATATTCAACACATACTTACCGAGCACCCACTGAGCTAGATGCTGGATACACAGTGGTGAATGAAACAGATCTATTCCTGCCCTGCTGGCATTTCTGTTATTCTAGTTTAATATGTTACACGTCAAAGATCTTATGTCCCTTTTATTGTGTAGACGACACTTTCCTAACTAGTCTGAATTATTCATTCATTCTTTAAGCATTTATTTTGCACCTACTAGGGCCAGGCACTGTTTTAGGTGCTGGGGATACAGTATTAAACAAAACGTGGAGCTTACATTTTTTACTGTCAACCCCTCACACAGTAGGTCCTGCATTTCCATTATGTGAAGTGTCCAAATAGAGAAAACTTTCTCCCCTACTCTCACTGCTTCAGATAACTCTTAGCTTCTTTTGACTTCCCATGAGAAGAGATTAGGTCAACTCATTCTTTCCCTATACATTTTTATAAACAAAATGCTATGTTAAATGTTCAAATGTCATAAGATACAATCTTTATAAAGTGTTACAACCTGTCTTATGACATATACATAATACGTCTACTCCTATAGCCTGACTCTGTCACTAAATAGTTAGACCACGGTCAAAGTACAGCACTAAAAGTTGTTTCCAAACTAGACTGTGCATCAAAACAAACAAAAGCAAACAAATACTAAACAGATTTATGGACCCAATCTGAGTCCTACAGTATCAAAACCTTAGGAGTGGAATACATAAATCCATTATTTTTTTAGAAGATTCCTAGATATTTGAGAAGCAAACAGTCCAAAACCTGACATTTAGAAACTACTGACATTGCTCTGCCTTTATGCCTGAAGTGAAGAGGGTTGTATTATAAAATCAATACCATACCACAAACTTGTACTGAACATTTATTATATGCCAGACACTCTACTAATTAATAGTGATACAAAGATGAATGAAAGGCTGCTTTCATTGAGGGGCTCATAGTTTCTTAAAACAGAGACAGAGAGATATATAAGAAGGAACACAGTCTGGTAAGTATAATAAGAAATATTCACAGTGTTTCAGAAGCGCAGTGGAAGAGGAATTAGTCATGCCCAGTAGTATGGGGAAGATCTCACTGAAGAAGTGACATTGAAGGTATGAGTAGCATTTCCCCAGGAAATGCTTCGATCTCATTAATATTGGAAACAAGAATGACTTTAGGCTTTCAATAGCAATTTTGGAAGTTACAAAGTAACGGATCAGCGCTTTCAAAAATCCAAAGAAAAGATTCCCCCAGCTTTTAAAGAGGGGAGTGAGAGAGATTTCTTACAAAGGATCAGGAGGCAGAATGACCTTAGATTTTTCAACAGCAACATGAAACGTAGAAAGCAATGGAGTGCTGTCTTCAAAACTATAAAGAAAATTTATCTACAACTTAGAAATCTATTGTTGTTGTTGTTAGGTGCCATCGAACCAGTTCAACTCATAGTGACACTATGTACAACAGAATGAGGCATTGCTTGGTCCTCCTGTGCCATCCTCACAATCATTGTTATGCTTGAGCCCATTGTTGTAGCTACCATATCAGTCCATCTCATTGAGGGTCTTCCTCTTTTTCGCTGACTTTCTACCAAGCATGATGTCCTTCTCCAGGGACTGGTCCATCAAGATAACATGTCCAATGTACCTGAGACAAAGTCTTGCCATCCTCGCTTCTAAGGAGCATTCTGGCTATACTTCTTCCAAGACAGATTTGTTCATTCTTTTGGCACTCCACGGTATAGTCAATATTCTTCACCAACACCACATTTCAAAGGCATCAGTTCTTCTTCAGTCTTCCTTATTCATCGTCCAGCTTCCACATTCATATGAGGAGATTGAAAACACCATGGCTTGGGTCAGGCGCACCTTAGTCTTCAAGGTGACACCTTTGCTTTTTCACACTTTATAGAGGTCTTTTGCAGCAGATTTGCCCAACGCAATGCGTCGTTTGATTTCTTGACTGCTGCTTCCATGAGTGTTGATTGTGGATCAAAGTAAAAGGAAATGCTTGACAACTTCAATCTTTTCTCCGTTTATCATGATGCTGCTTATTGGTCCAGTTGTGAGGATTTTTGTTTTCTTTATGTTGAGGTGGAATCCATACTGAAGGCTGTGGTCTTTGATCTTTATCAGTAAGTGCTTCAAGTCCTCTTCACTTGCAGCAAGCAAGGTTGTGCCATCCGCATAATGCAGGTTGTTAATGAGTCTTCCTCCAATCCTGGTGCTGCGTTCTTCTTCATGTGGTCCAGCTTCTTGAATTATTTGCTCAGCATACAGACTGAATAAGTTTGGTGAAAGGATACAGTCCTGATGCACACCTTCCCTGATTTTAAACCACGCAGTATTCCCTTGTTGTGTTCAAATGACTGTCTCTTTGTCTGTGTACAGGTTCCGCATCAGCACAATTAAGGGTTCTGGAATTCCGTTTCTTTGCAATATTATCCATAATTTGTTATGATCCACACAGTCGAGTGCCTTTGCATAGTCAACAAAACACAAGTAAATATCTTTTCGGTATTCTCTGCTTTCAGTCAAGATCCATGTGACATCAGCAACAATATCCCCCATTCCACCTGTTCTTCTGAACCCAGCTTGAATTTCTGGCACTTTCCTATCAATGTACTGCTGCAACCAATTTTGAATTATCTTTAGCAAAATTATACTTGCATGTAATATTAATGATACTGTTCAATAATTTCTACATTCTGTTGGATCACCTTTCTTTGGAGTGGGCACAAATATGAATCTCTTCCAGCTGGATGGCCAAGTAGCTGTCTTCCAAATGTCTTGGCATAGATAAGTGAGCACCTCTAGTGCTGCATCTGTTGTTGAAACATCTCAACTGTCAATTCCTGGAGCCTTGTTTTTTGCCAACGCCTTCAGTGCACCTTGGACTTCTTCCTTTAATATCATACCTAGCTAAGTAACCAATCAAATGTGAGAATAGAGACATTTCTAGATATGTAAGTTCTCAAAACCTTTTCCACCCAAACACCCTATCTTAGGAAGCTGTTGGAGTATTTGCTTCATGAAAATGAGTCAGTAAAACAAAAAAGAAGAACACATAAGATACAGGAAAACTAACCCAATAGGAAGGTGTTGTAGGCTGGGTTCTTTAGAGAAACAAAACAGGTAAAGCATATAAACATATATAGAGAGATTTGTATCAAGGAAATGGCTCACACGGCTGTAGAGGCTGGAACTTCCTTAGTCCATGGGTCAGGATAGAAGCTTCTTCTGATTCATGTAGCTGCAGGGGCTGACAAACCCAAGATCAGCAGGTTAGAGAGTAGGGCTTTTGCTCACAGGCTGCGAAGATCGAAGATAGATGAATCCCAAAACCAGCAAGCAAGACCACAGAAAAGCTGCTAGCTCAGGTCCCAAGAACCAGAGTTCAGACTAACAGGAGCCAGCTGCAGGATCCAGTGCAAGCAAAAAGCCAGGAGCCTTATCAGAATGTTTACTTATATTAGATTCAGGGCACATGCCCAAAGAAACTCCCTTTCAACTGATTGGCTACTCACAGCGGATCCCATCATGGGGGTGATCACATATCAGATCTCAACACAGAAGTGATCACAACATTATATGACTGCCAGAACACTGAGATTCATGGCCCAGCCAAGTTGACCCACCATCTTAACCATCACAGAAGGCAAGGAGAATCTCCAATACAGAGGTGAAGGGAAGTTCCGGGATAACGGCTGTACACCAGGCATAGAGGACAAGTCCAGATTGGAACTGGTCAGAAAGCTTCAAGAGTGACTCTTTCACGATGATAAAATCAGTTAAGCATCTGAGGAATCTGAAATTCTTGAGAGGCATTTAGAAGATTAATTAAGAACTAGTAGTTTGGGAGTGGGGCCAAGATGGCAGAATAGTCAGATGCTTCCTGTGGTCCCTCTTACAACAAAGACCCAAAAAAGCAAGTGAATCAATTGTATATGACAATCTAGGAGCTCTGAACATCAAAGACAAAGTTGAGGAGTCAGACTGAGCAGCAGGGGGAGAGAGAGACAGTTCAGAAGCAGTGAAGAAGTGCCAGACTTGAGCTAGCCAGCATCCGGCAGGCTGGATCGGCTGGTGCACGTGGGCTGAGGCAAGCAGTAGTGCTCAGGATGCATTTTACTACTTTGGGAGAGACCAGGCAGCAGAGAGTCTGCACAAGCCTCCGTAGCCAGGAGGGAAGTGACGCTGGATCTGTGAAAGTTAAGTGCAAGCATCTAACTTACTGCATGGGATCAAAATAACACCTCCCCCTCTGAGACTTTCGTAGCACGGAAGTGCCTCTTTTCCCCTCACTCTCCCCACTCCCTGCTCTGTTCAAATACCAGTCTGGCAATATTCAACAACTGGTACGCCCCCTAAGCTGGAAA